GATTTGAATGAAACTTTGATAGGGGTGAGATGCAATCGAAGCTACACCGAGTCTACTTTAAATACACTAGCAACCGTGGCCATTGTATTCCTCAGACGGCGTTTTTCTTTCACATTCTTCAAGACTTTGGTGGCGAGCTGTACGGCTCCTGAAGTGGTAAGTAGTGAGCCCTTTCGGAATACCGGATCAGATTCTTCTTTGAAATACGTGGTATTATCTGGAGCGGGGTGCTAGCATTCGTAATACCTTGGAATTCTTTGTCAACACCCTTTTCTCTGGGCGAAAATAGCCTGTCGTCTGGAGACACCCCGATTGTGATATACTGAAAAGAACGCAGCGATCCGGGGAATACCTTCCGCGTTCCCAGGAGTAACAAAGCACCTTGGGCCCTCAATGGTGACTTTGGCATCAGAGAGAAGACCCCTGGATATACCGAAGAGATCCCAGGAGCCCTGTGCTAATACCTATTTATAGCTGCAAAGGCTTTAGTCGGATGGACTGGTCTGAGGACTGGAGCCCTTCATAAAGCTGCGCTCATCTCTTGGCTTTCTGCAAGCTTCTCTCAATTTCACATCCTCTCAAACTTCTTTTACATCATGGTTCGTTAAGTATTCTCACGACATATTGCCCATGGGAAACTAAACAGATTAATAGTCTCAAATCGGAGACTTGCCTCCAGAAATAGTGTTGATGATTACCATATACCTACATGGTAGCGCAAAGTTCGCTCTTGCAAGATCCTGCAGAGCGCTGTATTACCGACTACGAACCGCAGTCCTTCAATTCAACATCGAATATCAGAACAGCAATCTTCTGGGCCTGGCCGCCAAAGATGACAATGTTGAACTCACGCTCATGTTGCTTCACCACGGAGCAAACGTCAATGCCTTCTTTCGTGCGAAAACCCCGGTCATGAGGGCTCTCAAGTACTCTTCATCTGCAGTGCTCAAGTTCCTACTGGAAAGCCCTAGGCTAGATATCAATATCCAAAACCGAGAGCAGGAAAGTGCCTTATGGTTTGCGGTTACATATGGATCATGCTCGACGCTGCGGGCTCTCTTGGAATTGCCCAGCTGTGCAGTGAATCTCCGGCATCGACGAGGCCAGACTGCATTCCATTTCGCCGTATGGTGGGGCCGAATCGACTTGGTGGAAGCGCTGCTCTCCAACGGTGGTGATCCCTACGCATACGATGTTTCTGGTCGCTCGCCATGGGATTGGGCATTTCAATACGATAGGTCCTTTATGAAGGCTGTGTTTTCACGAGAGGAAGAGTATGTCCAGCCAATGTATGCTCACTCTGATGTGTCGGCGCTGCACCAGGCAGTCCCGCATGGATCAGTGGATGCTGTGAAGCTGCTCCTGGGGCGGAAAGGTCTTGACCTGGCGGTAATCGACAGTGATGGTGCGACAGCCCTCCATCTCGCTGTTCGCAGTCGACGCTTGGAAGTGGTCGACCTCATTCTCCGGCATCCTCGAGTGGATGTGAACTGTATAGATAATGACGGCAAATCCCCGCTTTGGTGGTCGACGTTTTTGTCATATTACGAGATCACCGAAAGGCTTCTAGCTGAGGAGGACATTGATGCCAACTTGATCGGTGGCTTCGGTCGGCATGACACACCCTCGGCACCACTACACCATGCCGCGACTCGGTCGCATATAATGATTTTGAAGCAGCTGCTTGCGACCCAAGGAATTGACCTGAACGTCTGCGCTGCGAGACAGACCCCTTTTTCTGCCGCCGCCGCTGCGGGTAGAGTTAACGTAATGAAGACACTTTTGGGTGAGAGGGGTGTGGAAATCAATACAGGTAGAATTTTGATGAATCCTCCTCTATGCCAAGCGGCAGCGGGATGCCATGTGGAGGCTGTTAGATTATTGGTGCAGCAAGGCGAGCGGCTCAGAGTCAATCAAGGCACCTTGACAATGCATGACACAGCTCTGGGGATTGCTGCTCGTGCGGGAAACCTGGACATAGTCCGGGCTTTGTTGCAACACAATAAAATTGACCCTAGCCTGGAGAACCGATGGCTGGAGTCTCCGTTGGTGTTGGCAGTCAAAGGCGGACATGTTCTTGTCGTCGACGCTTTGCTGGCCGATTAAAGGGTGGATACGTACAGCTTACGAGAGGCACGAGCAATCGCGACGCACGAGGGTATCCGAAGAGCCATCCAGTACGAGATTGATGATCGCAGAGCCCATTGTTGATGGATCAAGGCACTCTGGTCCCTGGCATAGTGGACGCGGGAAGTCTGCGTGGACGGGTGCTGATGTGGTGATGCTTGAGGTATTGAATGTGGGCTACAGGAAAGTGCCGACCAGTATTGATACACGATGCACAACGTGCACTGCAGCGTATACCAAGCATGAAAGGAAGATAATCGTTGATCTCAGGATATGTGGTGGTAACCAGATTGCCTCGAGAAGCTGCAGAGACGGCATTGCTCTTACCACATGTTTTTCAACATCGTGCATCAAAGGTAAGAACGTGCGTGGACTGTCTGTCAACTCAAAAAGGGTGAAGTCTGGCCCATGATATTTGATGGCAGGGATTTTATCTCCCAGGGTAATATGCTCTATTTAAAATCTATGGAAACCCGCTCTGTTGTGCACGCTCAATCTTCTCCCATTCTACCCTAATGAATCCACTCGCGGCATCCTATTCACCAGCCGATCGGCCAGCCAAGAGACAGCGAAGACTCTCCGAGGACACTTGCAACGACCCAAACGCAGAGGATATTTCACCAGCCTCATGTTCTACCGCAGCGAGCAACCTCCTTACGACGCAACTTAAGCAAATCCTGCGCCGCAATAGCGACCTCGCCCTACCGGCCCTAAGACTTTTAGATTTGTATCTATGTCTATGGGAAACTTATGTTGTGAAATCTGCGGAGAGTATTCGGCTTGAAGATGAGCGGCGTCAGATATGCGAGTTAAACGAATTGCTGGAAGAAGAGACTGATAGTCTTCTTCAGTGCTGCAACCGACAGGCAATGGAGTTGGAGGTTCGAAAACGGACCGTGAAGGCATTCCACGGAGATGTCATGTCGGTCTTGCAGAACATCGACCACCCTTACTATCACATTGAAAGACCTTGATTCATGCATGGAGCCATACATCTTTTGTCCGTTAAGGAATACTTATTCTTTTCGATAGTACAACTTCAGCTGGAACTTCCACGGAAACGTTATTTGCCAGGTATGTGAAGCACGGCAAAGATCTACGACCCCTCAATTGCTGTCTTGTGATATTTCTTAAATAGCTTCCATGACTTCAATTCTCAGCCACCTATAAGCTACTTATATCTTGTACTGTGATAATGTGATTTTCTATCCATATATGGTTCCCTTTCGCATAGAAGATCTTCCATCGACAAATATGAATAGCTTGGTTTTCTTCTTATAGCTCAAAGATAGGCTTAGGCAATCCTTGCAGCTCTTATGAAATTAACCGCCCATCCTATCTTTTCGGCTATCTCCCGGTGTGATCAATCCATTTTTGATATACTGTGACGTGTGAGGTCGAATGGATCCGGCTTTGAATATCAAGGGGTAAAATATAAAATTGGACAAACACCACAATTTACTTGACTCTCTCATAGATAGAGTGGAATATAAATTGACCAGGATTCTATCACTGACCTCGCTCGCAATTCATCAGCCCTGCCAGTCGGCCTTCCGAGCACTGCTCCCAATCATTGAGAATGCTGAGCAATCGCCCCCGAGACGCTTCCAATGCTTGATTTAGATAATCGAACTGAGATAGCTGCTCGTCATGATGAGCTAGAAGCATCCCCTTTTCATTTTCCAGTCGTGTATTCTCCCTTTTCAACTCCTGGTTGGTCTGACGGAGCTTCTCGCTGCCAGTATGTTTCGACATGCATGAATCCCATAGCCGTCGGTAGAGTCCCAAGATTCGAGCTGCTTGAAAGGCGAGCTTTGGATCATCCCGTTCAAGCTCTGCAAGAAGCTGTAGTATCGGCTGGAAGGGTTCTGCTGCTGAAGTTTGTTCTTCGTCGGCTGGCCGCTGGGAGACCGGCTGCGTTGATTAGCATCATGCACGACATTAAAGGTTAAAATAGTTCTTACCTGACTAGGAGTCTCTTCAGCTGTCAATTCCGGGTTCAGTCGCTCATCTGGGCCTGAAGTTGGATCGGAATCGGTCTTTTCGTCCCTTTGTAGGTCGTGGCACACAGCAAAAGGATCCATTTCTCTGTTCCAAGTAATATATTCGAGAATCTGGATATATGTAGTATGAATAGCTTAAGCTCCATTCCATCTAATTTATAGCCATGAAGACCGATAAAGCCAGCAAATTCGGTTCTCCATAATGCTCAACGCTTGATGATGTTGTTATCACCAATTGTTTACTAGCAAGGAATATGTGGTCAACAAATAACTCAGTTTGAAAGAGGTGAGGCAACGACAAATTGACCATTACTGACAACAGATAAAGAAATTCGTGCAAGAGATAAATGTCAAAGTGATGTAGACTGAATGAGCTTTGGTGTGTCTCATCGTGGAATCATCACCGTCACTTCAGCCGTTGGAACAGTGATAAATGAGATACCGTTCGAACACATTTTTTGTCATACTTGTAAAATGGACCAACTGGATGCTGTCAAATGTCTTCCGTGAAACAAATGAGGAGATTTCCCACACTTCCACCGATTTTCATATCGCCATTTTCTTTTGTATATCTGCTCGCTGTTTGTATCAGGCTACTAGCGGCCTCGGTCTATTGCAAGCTCAGAACCTTGCCACCCAGACATCCCCCGTCGCAGATTGGTGTTTGGATTATGCGATCGCCATTGTGGTATTTCATTTTCTTTTACTCTGTACAAAGAAGCCAACAGTCACAGTGCGATACCGCTTGCGTGCGATACCGCTTGCGTGCGATATCCGAGCGATCCTTTCCAAATGAATTCGCTTCCTGTGAGACATCCATCTTCGGAGGTGGATATGCAGAGCCAACCTCGTTTGAGTCATGCATCAATGATGAACGAGGCGAAAGGCCAATTGCCCTCAATTCCTGAAAATTGCTTCATCGCATGTCCTATCCGGATGGCCCTTCTACAACAGCCGCTTGGGATGCTTTATCCAGAAGAAACTATGCTGCAGATTCATCGGAATGGTTTCGTCGGTTGGGGCTTTCAACGACCAGGACACTTTCACGATCCTGGCTTTATCCATTGCGAGCCGATCCCTATCATTTGCTGGCCGGAAAATATGCCAAATTCGTATCCTTTCAGCCTATTAGAGCCATCCTCCAAGCCTCATACCTTTGAGGCAAAGGTGGCTCCTACCTGCAGTTCCTGTTCTATGTGGCTTGGCAGCAATGAAGTGCTTGCAACGAGCCCAGTTTCTCTTGGGCCTACGAACGCCGCGCCTCTTCATTCCTCCCAAGTACCTCCGGACTGGAGCTCCCAGAAATTGCCACAAAAAATACACCAGCGGCAGTTTAGATGTAGGTACCCGGGATGTGATAGTCAATTCAGGCGCCGAAAAGCCCTCGAGCGACACCTGATATGCCACTCTGATGAAAAGCCGTATGTATGCTGGGTGCCAGAATGTCATCGCAGCTTCAGACGCTCGGACAATCTAAAGGCTCACTACCCAACTCATGCCAAAATGGGCGGTCGCAACCGCTATGTGGCAACCTTGGACAATACGAGTCCTGCCTACAGCCCTGAGTTTCGCGGCCAATTGACATTGGAGGGCTGGTCAGCTCTTGAATAAGCGCGAAGATAAAACCCCCATCGAGGGTCGCCAGTCCCTAGGACTCATCAAGTACGATAATAAATCCAGCCGGGTCACTTTGGCAAACGCCTGCATGCAATTGCCCTCGAGGCTGTCGAGTTGGGCTTCACTACAAAGGGCGGTCAGGACCAACTGGCCGGTTCCCACGGCGACGGACTCAAGCTGGCGGCGGTGGTCCTGTCTCGAGATGGGTATAGGCTGCAAATGGCGGCGAGTCGGAGTTCGTGGTATTTCCATTTGCGCGAGCCATGTAAATCTTGCCTCCATTGGACCATTACCCATCGCACCAATCTGGTTCCAACAAGACGGACTGGGCCGAGGATATCGCAGGAATGCGCTTCCAGACCGAGCGAGATGTTGCCGTACTTATTGGCCCCGGACGCGCCAACCAGGGTCGACCGGTGGCACCTGAAGAATTTCTTGAGTGGCTGTAAGTATCTCTGGATATTCGTGGCTTCTCCTACCCATCCTCGAATGTTGAGAAGAGCCACGGGGACCTGCTTTTTGACCAAAATCTCCTGGGTAGGATTTATGCCCACGGCGTGCTAATCTCTGGAACAAACTCGATTTATCCGTTCAAACTTGGTTATAACTTTACCGAGGGGAAATTCAATCGCGATCGGCGATGGCTCATGGACCGGCATGGACTGGCAGAGCGAGTGTGCCGGATCTGGGAGTCCGCCCTTCAAACGCACGAGGACGTCCTTCTTCCGATATACGTGAGCCTCCTCCGAAAGGCACCAGCGCTGATGGACGTTAGTCTGGCTGCTGATTTGCTCTTACCCTCGACGATATCCCGCATCTGGACGTATTTGCTACACGAGTCCAAGGGCAAGGACTTTTTCTATTGCGAAGCATCCGGAGCCCAGGTTTGTCGGAAGTCCAATATCCATATCCCTTGTCCCAGGCTAACGCAAATCTAGGATGTCAAGATGATACGAGAGACCATTGTAAAAAAGCCCATGAAGCTGTCGCGAGAATTGTGGCGCCTACTGCGGTCGACTACGCCTATCCGCAGTGCTGCGGAAGAACTTTCAATGCTTTTCCATAATGCCGAGGTCTGTAGCCCCCCCGAGTACCACCTTCTCGAGAACTGTGCGGAAGGCACTGAGAGCATGCTTTGCCTTGTTAGATTCGATGCAGAGGATTCAAGTAGTTTATGTCGAAGGATTCGATAGTAGGGCGGATGTTGTGTATAATCCTCAGCAAAGGACACTAAAGGTCCACCGCCGATGGCTGGACTTTGACGGTATACATCAGCGAACGCCGTGCCGGAACTGGGTTCTTCGTAATACGAAGAAGGAAAGCGGAAAGTACGAACCCTTCTTTTGCGGCCACATCGTCGAGGAGCTCTTATCTCTTTCCATCTCGTCCGTGTTTGGAGGCTCTCAGACCCCTCGGACCACCGAGATGAGGTATATGCGCCATATCCGACGTCTACTCCGGTACATGCCACACCAGATCACGTTGACGCCCTCGAAGGGCGGCTTGGCGGTTGCTTGGGAAGACAGCGAGACAGAGCTGTTTCGGAAGCATGGCCTGGATGGGGCGGCGTATCATGTCATACTACATGAGGAAAACTGTATCAGCATGAAGCGGGAGCTTCTGCATCCGAACCCAGGTAAGCCTCGATTGATCCTCGCTTAGATATAGCTATGAATTCTGATACTTGCCATATAGTTCCGGACTCGTCGAACCTTGCAGTCTGCGGGTGCCGTCAGCAGTTCGTTCCGCAGTGGACCAAACAATGCCTGTTCGCAGAATTGGATGAATTCAAAAAGTACTACGCGATGGTTTCACTCAACGAAAGGTCGGCATTGTACGGTCTAATACCGGGGCCTGTGTATCCCCTAGCAGTGGCGGAGACCGGGCATTCCGTCGTCGTTGGCGATCAGCTTCTCGTTGATGTCCAACACAAGCACGGGCCAATCGATCATTCGGGTCCGCCGCGGATCGAGAGAAAAACAGCTTCATCTGCCCAAGAGCCGAGAAGCAAAAGACGGAAGTATATGGACTGAGCAAGTCATGTCTCAAATCACCCTCACCTTGCTATCACGTTTCGCTGTCCTCGTAACAGCACGACGATTAATGAGAGTTGTAGCTCACTTTCACACGGAGTGGATGGTCCATGACAGGCTGCATATTGTTCACTTAGCTCTGTGCCCTGGTCAATATCCTCTTCCGGTAGCCTTACGCGAGCATGATGAGAGTCACCGACGTAAGTTTCCGGTATCTCCTGGCGCTCGTGAAGACATTAGCGAGGTCACAGAGAATCGGTCATTCAGACGAGTCAAAATGACTGGTTGACTGGATTCATCCTACCCAACATAAATCACACATGCAAGAATTCTTGGCCTTAGAGAAGGATAGAAAAGTCAAACGGAACAAAATCCTGTCAGGTAAACGATAGGGCCCATGTGGGTGAGGGTGCTTCGTTTAGCGCACGAACGGGATGAGTCGTCTAAGCCCATCTGGATCGAACCTCGAATAGTTGCTTTCGAAACGGCATGATGATGAACCGTCACACCCACTCAAAGAAGACTGCGGGTAGAAATCAGGACCAAGATTCACATTAACGCTCCACTGTAGTCTCATTGCATCCAGAGTGCATTGCTTCAAGCAACAGTCCCATTGTGGCTTAAAGGGAGTGCCTGTAAATACGTGGGGGGGCTCCCCGAAACCTGGCTCTCCTAGGAACTATGAATGCAATGATGGGGGCATGAGCAGTGCTGCTATTACAATTCGCTTTAATGGACCTCATTCTTCGCGACGCATTCTCGTGCTACAAGATACCTTGGTGGGTTCAGGTACAATGATTGCGGTGCAGTGGCACGACGCACAACATAAACTGGCTTGGCCGCTCTTTTCACGAGGCCATTATAACTCTACGCGCGATTTAATTGCCCTATCCTTGCTCGCCATCCCAATGATCATTATGGTTCGTAACGAATGTACTTTACGTTGGCAACTACATACTAAACTAGAAGCAGCCCCATTTGCGAGGTCTACCGAATCCAATCTTATACAGAGTTGCAGCATATCTCGAGAGCAGCGAAATATTTGCTCTTGCGAGATCATGTCAAAATCTCCAAGCCAGGCTTACAGCCGGCCATACTTGCAATCAACGTCGAATGTCAAAACAGCAATTTGCTCGGCCTCGCTGCCATGAACAACGATATTGACCTCGCCGAAAGACTTCTATATCGGAGGGCAGACGTGAACGCGTTCTTTCGAGGGAAGACCCCGGTGATGAGGGCTCTCAAGTACTCATCATATGACGTATTGCAGCTCCTGCTGGAAAGCCCCACGCTGGATATCAACCTCCAAAACCAGGCGCAAGAAAGCGCGCTGTGGTATGCCGTCACATACGGAACATGCTCTGTGCTACAAAACTTGTTGCAGGTCCCAAAGTTACAAGTTGACCTCCCGCACAGGCGAGGACGAACGGCCCTCCATCTCGCGGTCTGGTGGGGCAAAACAGGCCTGGCGCGTCTGCTCCACTCCAGCGGCGGCGATCCTCTCACTACAGATGACTTTGGCAAGTCACCCCGCGCATGGGCATGGCGCATCGGCCGGCCGTCCATGAAGTGGATCTTTGTAGGCCCACAGGAAGCTAGGCACTCGCTCTCTTTCTACAGGCCATCCGCTGGTTATCAGGCCACTGATAACAGCGAGCTGCCGCTCCACCAAGCAGTGGCCCATGGATCCGCAGACGCTGTCAAGCTACTTCTGACGCAGAAGGAGCTGGCCTTGGATGCTCAGGATCCCAACGGGTATACTCCACTCCACCTCGCTGTTCGATGTCGGCGTCTGGCAGTGGTGGAATTGCTGTTGAGCCACCCGTGCGCCGACATAAACTGTCGTGACAAAGACGGCAACACTCATGCGATGGCGATGCTCTTGAACAAGGGAGGCTTAGAGATCAATGCGACCGAGTTGGCAGATCCGCCCCTCTGTCGAGCGGTGGAAAACGGCCGCTTGGAAGCGGTAAAGCTCTTGGTCCGACAGGGCGATGCTCTTGAAATTAACCAGAGCACTGTTACCGTCCAAGACACCGCCCTGTGTATCGCCGCCCGGGCAGGCGACTCGGAGATGGTGCGAGTTTTACTGCGCCATCCCAAAGCTGACCTCAACCACCAGAATCGTTGGTTTGAGGATCATTTGTTGCTTGCAGTAAAAGGAGGACATCTGGTGGTTGCTGACATGCTTCTGCAGGATCGAAGATTGGAGCATACTAGTTTGTGGGCATCGCTTCATTTTGCTGAGGGTCCAATTCGGAGGCAATCCAGAAGCGGGTTGATGATTTCCGCAGCCGTGGCGGGCAAGTACAGGCTCATCATTAAAATGGAGAATTGGTGGGTTTCTCAAATATCAACAAAAGAATTGTGCAGCAGTGTGATACAAAATGATGCTTTGAAAGGCCGGCAGAAGTGTCGATCAGTAATGACGTGTAGATCATGGACGGCATGAAGATGGGATGGTAGAAGGCCAAGAACTTAATGGATTGATAAGACTGCCAGCCATTATAGAGCGGTGGCATTGATAGCTCGACAGTGACCAGGGCCAACTATTCCAACGGAACTAGAACTCGCGTACGATCTTGTCTGCACTTAGTGGGCTTTTGATAAATAGTATCATACCTATTCAAAGAATGCTGGTACCGATGATGGATAAATGTAGCCAAGATCTTTAGTATCTCAAATATTATCTTGAAATTTCTTTATGTAGGCAATGCATATTCTAACATCCACTCTGGCTGGAGAACTTGGTAGGTAATCGGGCGACTATTAGATTTGACGGAGAGAAGTGGTCGTAGCATATTGAGAACTTCTCCCTCTTTGTTTCACAAAACGACGGCATGCCGCTATCTCGCCAAAGCTGTTGAACGCTATCCGATTTTCGACAGCTAGGCTCTTTGGGACAAATGCTCAAGGTAGAATTATCTAGAACAAGTATCTCGTGTCCAAAATTTCCAGCCTTCTCGATTTTCTTGCGCTCCTACTCCAACTAGCTGGTTTATACCTTGGACGCCGTCAGCACTTTCAAACATCTCCTGATCAATCTCTTTGCCAGCTTTTGCATCAGTGGCACACCGAAATACGGCAGGCCACAGGACTCCGACTCCGTCTGCACCAAGAGTGGTTTCATATATTGCAAACCCTTCTGCAGTAAGCTTTTGCTCCAGCTCTTCGATAATTCGCTCTTCAGTGTTTGGCCGGAAGAGCGTGATAGTACACCCACCACCTCCAGCACCAGTGAGTTTGGTCCAACCAAGTTTTGAATGATCGACAAGCTCACGAACACGCTCTAGACGAGGATGGGAGACTCCTAGAGATACCAATAATCCGTGGTTCACACCAATCAAAGATCCCAACTGATCGAGAGCGTCTGGATTTCCATTTACGTGGAAATCAAGCGATGATATTAGCTCTAGCGCAGAAGTTGCAACTTTGCCAATGCCCTCCAAAATCATCTCTGTTAGTTCAGGATGATTGATTTTCAATTTTTTCACTTTTTCCACCTCTACGGAGGTGGATCGTGATTGTTGAGTGTTGACAAGCAGAAGTGGTAACCTTGGGAACTCGTTGAGATGAATGACGGAGGGCGGACCAGAAACGTTTCTTTGGAACACGACAGCCTTTCCACTTGCAGATACCGTGTTATCCACCCCGCTGGGGTCTCCATGGATACACAGCTCGCCCACAAACGCCCAGCGATTAATATGCCCAATCTGCGCTTCTGCCTCTTGGGAAGGCTGATCGGGATGGGGTCCAGCAAGCGCGCGCATTTGGATGAGTAAGGCTGCGCTCAAGCACACTGAAATACTGGCACTGCTGCCGAGACCGGCGCCAATGGGAATGGTAGACCGAAGAGTGTAGATAAAACCAGGGCTATCTGGAGAGCCCAGGGATAGGAAAAGATATAGAAAAGCGGTCGCAGATTTAATGTGGATTTTTCTTTGCCTTTCTGGAAGGTGCTTCGATACGGCCTTTGCGTGTGGCATGATGGCTTCGAGAAGCTCTGTGTCTAGGCAGTCGACAGCAGAGTGATAGAAATTTTTTCTTGGAGGATTGGCTGAAGATCCGCCAAGGTAGTTTGTCGATTTGCCAAGTATGTTTCAGCTCAATGTCGCTGAAATTCAGTTGGACTGTACGATGGGATTTGGAGAGAGTGGTAACCAGGAGGTAAGATCGCAGAGAAATGGCTGCGGCAATAGCGGGCATGCCATACACTGCAGCATGCTCGCCAAAGACAATGGCTTTCCCTGGCGCGGAAACCATGAAAGTAGGCGCCATCGGCGACGATGTCTTTCTCTCCATGGAGGCTGGATAAATGTGTCCGTGAATTTGTTGATGGTCAGGTTGTTGGTGTTACGCGTATATTAAAATATTTTACGATGGGAACAGCGAGACGCGATCTGGGCCTCCGCCTGGCAGAAAGTCTTACGCTAAACCGGATACGGAATATCCTGTCTCAGGTGTGCTATATTCCTATTAAAACCAAAAAAGCAACAATCATTCACTATATGTCCATTTCTGAAAGATGATATGCACCTGAAGAAAGAATCAATAGATGGGCTTGTCTTCTAGTACGTGAGATCTGTATTTCTGTACGAAAAATTTGATCGCAATATAGATGGGTGCTTCACTATGCTGATTCAGCGGTTGATGCTTCTGGATTCAGGGGTGTGTTGAACGAGAACAAATAGCGCGAGAAGAATTGTTCTACAGGGCGTCTCTAATGGTAGTAGACCAATCAATATTGGTCTGATTGATTACATAGTCATCCTTATCGAACCAGCTTACCGTTGTTTAAGTCGTACAATCCCAATGTCGTTTTTGTTTTGAGCTGGATCTAGCCATTCCTTGTCTTTGTTGAAGATGTGCCGCTTGTAATAAGAGGTACCTAGATATGGATGTTAAGAAACTCGTATTTACTACCAATTCGACTTTTTGAAGTGCCTGGAAATCTTCCACTGCGTTGAGTAGTTAGGAATCCGTAGCTCGAGGTGGTTGACCTAGAGCGAAGTCACATCAATTAAATTACCTCTCTAGGTATCTATACGCCGAAGCAGATTCAGGAAACTGACAAAAAAATGATTTGTGTCTACTTTTCGTTATTTTAAATTCAAATCATCACAGCCCGACTACTTCCTCTGAGTTACAACAAGAAACTGCAGTCTGAGAATTCTACGAGGACGCCCCCTCCTTCCCATTTTAGAAACTGTGGAACTCATCCCTTTGCTAGAAGTGGGCGAACAGATCAAGATAGAAGCTAGAAGGTTGGAGTCCTCTATGTTGCCAGAGCAAGGACAGCCGATCAATTTTGGAGCAGCACATTGTTAAGGAGATACTGTTATATTTAAGTAAGGCTGGTAAGGAGTGTAATGTAAGCATAGAGCCACTTGCTGGTGAAAAGAGAAAAGCAATCCCTGCGACTTGCATGGTCAGCCCTTCGCTGAATCTGCTTACGGAGAAGAGATGGGATTCCCTAAGAGTAAGGTATTACCATCATATCTCCTAGCCTGGCTCATCCCTGCTCACAATTGTTATTGGATATCTTTCCTTGGCATTACAAGTAGACTTACGCAGGAGCCGCAAGTTCCGTTGGAGGAAAGTTCCATGGTGCAGCTGGGGCAGTGTCCTTTGCAGCCCTGGAATCGAGGGAGTTAGTACTCATTGGTGCACGGTACACGTTTTACGAGAACTAAATAGGTCGAAATGAAATGTTTCGCTTGCTGACCTCCTTGCCGCAATCCTTAAATGACGAGTCAGTGAATATCGAGTAAAGATGCAGAGAACACAAATGTGGAGGGGAATAGTACACTGCATTTGGCCCCGTTGACGAGCGAGTTGCATTCAGTGAAGGCCATGGTGATTCTGATACGTAGACCTGATTGCGATGGAGGTAAATCGAGATATAGCTAGATAGAAGGCCGGTGTCTTGTAGGAATAGATTGAGATGGAGTTGATACTACTAAATTTTGAGGGATTGGAATGCCCTTAAATAGTATAGAAGCTGAGGGGTGGATATGTATTTGACGCAATAATTCAAAGTATTACCTGTTAGTCGTATTAGGCTGTTAATAATGATCGCTTGACCCTGACGACCACAAAGCCTAGGCTTGGTGATTGTCTGTGACTAGCAATGCAGGACTTATGTTTGAAAGTCAACCCCCTCAATGCGGCGTAATCAAAGATTTTCGAGATTTCATTGTTGAGACGTGCTACCCAGGCTTATTTTTTGACCCAAACATCCTTGGTAGAGTTTATTCAACCTCACACCAGGAATACTTAGTCTCGATCGGCGATGGGTGATGGGGCGAAACGGAGTGGCAGAGCGAGGGTGCCGGGTCTGGGAGTCCACAATTCAAGTGCACCAGGAATTGACTATATTCGTAGGATTTCTAGGGCCTCTGGATCAAGCGAGTGGCGACCACGACAGGAAAGCTTCTCATTTAGGGTGTGAAATGACTATACAAAAACCATTATTACGTTGCATTGCGGGGGCTGACTGGCGAGCACCGGTTCCTGCAAGCCTCAGCCTAGTCACCAACAATTGCCGCGCTTAGGCCTGATATTGTGGAGCTCCAGATGCCGTGACTAATCACCCGAAATTAACTAGTGTAAGATGGTAATGCTCGCTGGCAGTCTGCGTTGGCAGACGGGTCGATTGCAAGAGGACAAAACCACCACACTCGCAGAGTGCAGGAGAGTAGTAGACAAAGCGTGACGCTATCGAGATGCGACTAGTAAGACATTCGAGTCTTCATGGACCTGCGATATACCGATACCGCAACCTCAGCCTCAGTAGCTTCCGCAGAAAGAAGAATTCATAAGGGGGACATGCATCGCCTCGCATGGTTGTTATTGTTACTCTCGAACGAACGCTACTTAATCTCACGAAACAAAAGTTAGCCTTGTTGCTAAGGCCTCAGTCACATGACCCTAGGATGCCGACGTTGAGAGCGGAAATCCCCATTACACTAGTTAGTAACAGGTCATACTCCAAAGTCTTGGGTCAAATCCACTGCAACATAATGAGGACCAATCACTGACCGGAAAACAGACCCCTCCGATGACAAGGTGGCATGAAAGGCGGTGGCATCGATGGAGAGGAAACATATTGGAGCTGCTGTATGGCTGAGAGATTCCTCACTCTTTTGACGACTATTGTTTGATAGCATGACTGCTCCTTGAAACTTTTAATGAGATATTGGATCTATATTCAATTCGTGATTGTGAATCGAGAATCTGCCAAGCATGCAATGTATCAGTCCATTAAAAACCGGACTCTCAGGTAGATTATGGATTGGACGGTTTCTTCTAGATGATGACAAGCCAGTACCATCGTATGAAGACATGCTGCAGTTTTATCTTCAATTAATAGAATAGAAATTCTCATGTATATCTAGATAAATCAGACAAAATGTACTAAAAAAACTGGGAATGGGGATGAGGAAGAAGAACAATTCTATAAATTGAATTACCTGGAGTTTTAAAATTAGATACTGAAGAGTGAATAGCATGATGGATGTCTGGCCGGCTCGGAAGAGTCAAGAACGGTGTAACAACAACCAACGCACTTCCCTGTAGTATTGTAGGTAAGAGGCGCTGGGAAAGAAAGCGATGGAAATGGATGAGCGCCATGGTAAAATGACAATACACCGAAATTTTCAACTGAAGGTTGGTAGTGTCGCTATCGCGATTCGCGTTGCACTACAGTATGAAGATGCGCGATGTAAGAAAACATAAGGGACCACTATTCTGATTGACTAACTATTTAGTTAACAACCAAATGCCACGATTGCCCGAGGCCCCACGATCTGGGTTGCAAACTGCCTTCCCACTACACTATTCAGTAAGGGAGATAACTCCTCTTTAAGATATCAAGTCTTCCCATTTCCGGATGGAATCCCACGTCAAACAAGACTTTTGACGAAGATGCTGAAGATAATGAGAAAGATGCTCATCGCTGCTGCAAACTCTTGGACCAACACAATATTCTCCATAACTCCCAAATTGACAGTCAAAACTTTTCTATTGGTGTCATCAAATGGCATTAAGCATGATCGATTGGAAGATAAATATTCCCATTTAAGTCATTTGCCGGCGGGTCACCTGGTATCACACCAAAGCTCTTGAGCCCTCGTCCTCAAATATCACCCAAAGACGCACAGGCGGCATGTTGCTTTATGTGTGATGAGACTGGCTGGTTACTTCCGCATGAAGTTGAAGACGGGCTGAAGAGCCGATTCGCCGCCCCTGAGGTGGGGACGGAGTAAAGGGATGCCGGGATACTCGAGATAATATTGGCGGTAAGCGGTATAATTCTGATTGTCATCTATCAGGAACCCGATCTTGGGTGGAACGCTTGAATCCGTAATCGGCACTTCACCCACTGTGCTGCCAAGGTTGTCAAATCGCGCAAAGAATTCGCTATATTCGCGGAGGCCATGAAGCACTGCTGTCGCGGAGTGATAATTTCGGAGATGAAATAGCTTCTACAATTACCATCATTAGATTGACCGTTGTTTTGTATATATCCCACTTTGGTCGATATGACCTACCTGAGCGCATTCTTGAAGGTATGGTGCCAGGTAGGGTATTGCACATAGAACTTCCCAAACGGAGACTGTTAGAGCATGCCAACTATCCAGAAAATCTGGCGCAATTCTATCCTGCGCCACGATACTTTGTGGAGACAGATTGGAAAAATTAGCTTTTGTCCATATTCGTGAGAGTTCTAGCCAGGTCTGACCCAGAAGACGACCCAAAACATTCCTCTAAGAAAGGATAAGTGCTGTCAAATGGTCTGTTCCATGGCACTTTCCCGGTATTTATGTAAACACTCCGAAAACGAAAAGCAAAAACGTCGCAGATCTTGAGTATTTCGGTCAAACTGTGAGGGCGCTCTTGGAACAGAATCTGGATTGGGCGTGCGACAAATTCAAAGCCGTGTATCGGCGGCGGTGGAAAACCTGATGTTGTTCCCCGGCGGAGATCAACTAAACACTGCAACACCGCCCGATGAGCGAATGGGCTTTGCGTTCGTAGGAGCTTATGAGATTTAGCTGACATGTGCCGAAGACCATCACCAGGAGACGTTGTACATACCTCCTCAACTTCTTCGTAGACTGAGATCTCCTCCATATGAATTTGAAGATGAGCCAACAGTTGAACGTATAGCTCGGTATGGGCCCTTAAGAACCACTCAACCGAGTTACCCGTGTACCCTAATGAGGCGCGGACAATATCTTCAAAAGCAATTAATCTCAATTGGAAGTGACTCTGCATCTCAATTCTTTGTGCGATCGCCCGTGCATCAAGAGACGGACCCGATGGTGGAAAACAGGACCAAGGAACAGGCTTGAAAGATGGTAGGCAAGAATGGCTCAGAATTTTTTCAACCCTGCTGTCATGGGAGAGGTGTAGGTTCAATTGTTTCTCATGTGGTTTGATGAGGTTTACGAGTGTATCAATAGCTTCTGTATTGCGGCCGAGTAGATTACTGCGCAGTATATTCTGGTCCCGAAGTAACGCGTAGCGAATGACCAGACGGGCATCTTCGTGAAAGGCCCATAGAACGGCGGCGGTCTCATCTTCCCACCATCGGTAAGAAGGTACAAACTCCGGAAATTCCGTGGTGACCTGGAAGAGGTATTGGCACGAAAGTGTCGCGTCTGGAGGCGTAGCACGCCCCAAGGGAGGTTGGAACATAACGTAAAAATAGCCCGAAAATTGGAGGGAATGAAGAGGGGCTCCGATTTTCTTTGTGGCAAGCGAAATGAATCAAACTCATAGGGCAGCACAAGTGCTTGTTAGGCGCTCTGGAAAAGAGCGGCTGCGGTTCCAGTGTCAATTCAAGATACCAGCTGCAAGGAATGAACTCAAAACTAGCCACTACACATCTAACATCATCAAGCATGCACATTATCAAAAAGTCGGCTGCATTCTAGGGATCAGATTCCACACTTTTAATTACGAAAATTCTCCTATAGATTCCGGTTTTGCCAGTGCGGGTCAGAAGGGCTCAGGGCTGCTCACCATTACACGAGCTTGGGTCGAACTCCAAGCTCTCTAAGATTAATTTTTGGATGCCCAGATAAACCATAGCCCCGCTTTCGTATAGTGGGTCGTGAATCCGTATCGACCGCAGTCACCTTTACCCATAGGTCCGTGATCATCCCACCCCGCAATACGGCGTATTTGAGGGTTTTTGAAATTTATAATCAAAATATCCCGTAGATCTATACCAAATAAGATAATGCAAATCTACTGACAAAAAGAAAGATGGGTTTTCTTTTAACATGAAGTTTCTAGGCCAATCTTTAAACGCTAATATTATAGTATACGCCGCAGAGAGAACTCATTTGAACTAATTTATCTTCACAAATACCCCACTGAGATTTATGAATGCCGTGAGTTATAAATGAAGAAAAAGCTTTAGATGGCTAGTGAGCCTACCGATCTAACGATCCAAATACAGAGGAATCTGAAGTTCTTTCAATGGATATATTGAAAGGCCCTCCTAACAGATGGCCGAGGACTACTTATTTTCCTTGGCAAGAAAAAGAACTACCAGAGATAAACTACCTTATGCAATGTCCCAGCCTAATTATTTTTCGACATGATCCATCTCTTTCATTCCATATTGTAAAAGAAAACATAAGCTTGCTTACTGCATGATTTCGTGGAAGTGGTTCCCTGGAATTCCTACTCATGAGAAAGTTTCCCACCTCTTTGGCAGCCTCTATGGTTATTTTGATGTCTCTCTTTGCTTATGAATAAGCTACGATCCAAGATATTATCAGGTACCTCATAGGCAGAGAGGAATAGGGGCCACAAAGAACGGCGAAGTTCACCAAATCGAAACGACTAAATGGCAACCTATTTCATGGACTAAACTCAGACCTTGCCGCTGGAGAAAATGGTGCTAACTATTATTACATACCAGCTTAATATTTTATTTGTCGTATTTGCAGAGCTTGTGGGGTCCAAGGCGTCCTTTGAACCAGGCGAGTCTTTCCTTCACAACACACGATGTGCTTTACTATAAAAATTTTACTGCAGCTGCACACCCTAGTAACTTCTAGTCAAAACAGCCGACATGATATATTGAATGCAATTTGAACCTTCAATACCTTGACTTTTCATGCCCTAGACTCTGCGTAATTGAATACAGGGGCTCGTAAACCTCGGTACGGAATAGTCGCCCGAGATTATTCCTACTCTCGGTGTTTGATAGCCTCCGCAATCTGAGATCGTGCATGTCTTGAAGCTTAAGGACTTAGTATCAACATTATCTACTTACTGAGATGCTGAATGAGGTTTTTTTGCATAGACTGCCCTCAAAAACTGAGAATACCGAGGGACGGTATTTTTTACAAATTAATCGACAGACACTCAGTATTTCCTGACGCCGACCAGCGAGACGGCTATCATATGATTTCATCGTACAGTATATCTCGAATGCAAACCTAAGCTGCCTCATTTTGACTTGAGCGCGCAAAATTTCGAAGATAATGATTTTTCTTCAAGTCATCGTGTGTTCGGTGGACGAGTGATCTAGGACATAGCTTGATTCGAGATCAAATATATCTGGCTCTTCATCCGAGTGCACCAATTCACGGAGGGGAACGAGCAAATATCGGGGCACAATTATGCACACAGGAAGTGAGGTGTCCGGAAAATCGGCGTCAACACGTCTTAGATCCTTCCACCAAAGCGATGCGTCCTGCTTGAAATGCATTACTTTGTCGATGTCGATGTCCTCAAAAGTATCAATAAAAGCCAGCCCTCTAATTGTGGAGCGCCAGTAATGGTTCCGAAAAACTCCCATGTCCCAGGTCTTATATCGCCCAATTTTCTCGCTAAATCTTGTTCGACCTGTGCCATTCCAGGTACGGTTTGGTAGCTGTCGACCGCATTGATTAACAAAAGTTTTAACAGATAGTTTGTAACCAAATCTCTAAAACACTTCGTTTCCTCTCCGGTATTTTTCTCAAACAATGAGAAAATGTCAAGTGGCGTTAAGAATGACTGGAGACGTGTGTGAAAATCCATCCAGTTGCCGAGAAAGGTTTCACCGTCATCCATAAGATCAGACTTTTGTCTATCGTCTACCCAATCTAGATGCTCTCCAGGGCAGTCAAAGATTTTCAATAGAAGAAAATTTGATGTGTAATCAAATATTTCAAGCACCTCAACACTTTCTTGCAGAGTGCGATCGGAATTTTCAGACCACATCTTGATAAATTGGTCATATGTGTGGCCTCCAATCTCGGAATCTTCAATTTCTGCAAAGATTGCAAGACCCTGCAATGCCTTTGTATCGAGGGTCCGAGCTAACACTGCATGATAAAATCTCTCGGCAGAAACTTCACCCTCTTCAGAGGAATTGAGCAATGGAGACACAAGTTCCCCGACAGACCATCTGCAGTCTGCGTAACATGCTATCGTATATGTCTCCTTCAGGCCAGGTGGCAAGTGATCAGCGGAATGGTATGATAGCGATTGTCGATATTTAACCATGTGGGTGATGTAGAACTTCCTCAAACGGTCGACCTGTTTCCACCAAAAGCGGACACGGCGAAGGCAAATATCTCTGCCATCCGGTCTGGCTTTTCTAGACGAATGAAGGGTTGAGTCGGGACTCAGAAAATCCCGCAGCCAATCGTGAGGTGCTGGCTGGGTAACTGTCGGTTCCTTCAATGCAATCTCTTCCTCGTCACCGTGCATGATGTCCGATATGAAGGAGAGGGAAATGTCATATCTATGGTATTGCGAGGTAGTCTGGCAGATGTCAGCATTGTGTCAGGCACAGCTTTCTTAATTTACTCACGAGAATATGCCATTCAATGTCAATCTGGTAACGCTTATACACATGGTGAAGCCGTCTGCAAGATTGTGCAAGACGCGAGGGTTCAGCGACTATCACAAAGCTTTTGAGAATCTGCAAAAGTAACTCAGTTGGAAGAGAAAGAAAATGGGAATTTTGGTACTCCATTCTTGCGGTCCGGTTATGAAACGGCCAGATATTGTCGACTGTTGAATGCCAATGGCTGCAAACAGATGGGGCGGTAGCAGTTGATTCGTAAACACGAAGCTACGAAGCGGGAAAAGGAACTCCTCAGGCGCGAGCTGCGGGCTTTTATTATTCCACGTCATCCGGGCTACGCATGGTTTAGTGATGACTAGGCCGGGTTAAGGTCCGGGAACTTTACTGCCCCAAGTCAATTCACTACAGTGCAACGCTTTGTTCACCAACTGCATCAAACTCCGAACAAATAATCCATCAGACCTAGCGCTGGGCGACCGCACTAGGCAATGGGAGCAGACCTTGCCCTCAACCATGCATTTTTACATCCCATACACGCACGGTACAGTGCAGGAAAATACATAGTAAGTCATGACCGGACGAAAAAGCCCCTGGGAACATGGTAGATCTGGAGCACTTTTTGCATCCCGAAAACCGGGACACGAACGCTGCAGTGTGGAATCAATTCACTGTGTTTGTATAAGTTGTGGCGCTTCTTGCAATGGCGTTAATAGCTCACTTGTGTTGAAAGTAGCCATCGGGGGTTACTTACGTTTGAGTCACAGTCAGAAATGAAGTTACAGTACTATTTTCCCGCCTCGCGCGGTCCCCGAACTTTTCTTTCGGCTTTAGAGTAGGGTTGATTCAAAAAATTACGATGTATTGAAAGCCATCCGTAATCACCCAGGATCTTTACATTCCCAGAAACCGCATTGTGGAGCCCGATGATCCTTGCGCATTCAGAACGCAGCCGAATAAACCCATCAATCCAGTCCCAGCCAACCTACAGATCTAGACCTCCGACGATGAGCGCCATCCGTATACCGACAGAAGTGACTACAGTATTCCTGGGAGCTGCGCTGGAGGCTCAGGGGCTCAGACGGCCCGTCATTGGCAAACCACTCCGGTCGCACAAGGCCAGCGATCATGCAAATGATGCATAGCGCCTGCAGATTGGTATATCTATGACCCCGTCATCTGGCACTGGTGATTTATTTTCAATTTTCTTTGATCAAGATGGACAGTATTTCACAGACTAGCTATGGCAGCCAGAAAGGTTTATTCCATCCCCATCACCACAGTCACAAGCTTTTTTGCCTTTTACTAACGAGATGACACTACAGCCATCCACAAAGCACCTTCTTCATCCTTTAGCACCGCTTCTACAGAACACGAGGTCTCCATGAATGATCCAATCGACGACGCCGAACGAGAGATAGAAGAGCTTCAAGCCAAAAAGAGAGATTGGCGCAAGAACAAATTCTAACAACTCTTCAATCACAAGACTGACAAACCTCGATTGAACTGTTTTGATCTCGCTACTAGTGGCAGCTCTGCGTCCGGAGCACCGATCACTTCTCCCAGCGCGAAAACTCCCATCCCACGTGAAATCCTGGGGAAACAAGACTGGATGAAATCTTAAAGCCCTTCCAAGGTTGCTTGTGACCTCTCCCAAAGAAGCCTCGAGAAATTGAAGCAAATACCAGCTACGCATGATGGTTCAAACATTACAAGAACAATTGGCTGAACAAAAGCAACGAGAAGAGCAACGAGAAATGGAACAAAAGGCACGAAAGAGAAGCGAGAAGCGGAGCAGAAGGCACGGGAAGAGAAACTTCTCGCTCAAGTAGATCGGCAAAAGCTCCGGGAAGAGGAACGAGAAGTGGAATAGAAGGCACGGGAAGAGAAGCGAGAAGCAGAGCAGAAGGAACTGCAAATGAAACTGCTTGCCCTTTTAGAACAGAAGGATAATTCGAAATGAGCATGTGAATAGTATCTATGGATATTCATGCAGACTTTCAACTATGCCTGCGTTAGAGGACCCTCCCTCTTTTGGTATTAGCGCCCCAACCGTAGGGGTAGATAGGCCAACGGGGGCGCGGTGTGCTTCGACACGTTTACACCGCGACGGTCTCTCCATTGGGGACGCGTGCTGCCGCACGTTGTAAGCCCTCAAACGACGTGGCATGAACGGTCTTTGATGTGGAGGACGTGGCAGTATAAAAATTAGCGTTGTGGGACCTAGTCAGACGAGTGAAGCCCAAGTTGCAAGCGTTTCGGCCCCTAAGCGATGTAATAGAATGTTCCTATTTCTACCATGAGATCGGGATCAGGAGAAAAGCGGAGGTCATCGGGAGTAATCTTTTGGAGTAAATTGAGACATTGGAAAGAGCGCAGTCAGGAAAGTTGCACGTAGAGTGAGCATTTATTTCGAAGGGGATCTTGTCCTCGTCGAGCTATACATGTAGTAGCCCACCAAAAAGTCAGCAATTTTTGACAGATGGTGTCCCAGAATTCGTAGGTATCATGTAAAAAAGAGCAATTCAAGGCTCAAAACCCTGTATTTCGCGTGCTGGGTTTGACGGCCTTGAAACAACCAGACTACTAAAAAGAAGACGAAGGGGAAAAAGTGCTTGGGGGGGTCACTATCCTGTGGAAGGACAATAGTTCTGGGGTTAACGATAGGACGGGCCTAGAATTTTCAGCAGATGAGTATAACAGCACATAAGGCATAAGACAAATTTTCACAAGAACACACACTCGGAATTTGAATGGCAAATTCCAAATGGCAACAAAACATATCTGTACTCTAGCCGGGAGATAGCAGCTCATTTTCCTTGGTCGTAAAAGGAAGGAGAGAAGGGAGTATTTTCTGTAGTGGTCGCTTGGTATGCAATCGTGGAGGGGCTTTCACTCAGGTATGCCCTCTCTGGGAAGCCCTCTATGCCATCGGAATACCCAGGGATAGCTGTGAGAATTTCTGGTGTGGGGGCTAGTTAAAAGGAAAGATACCCAAAGTTAGCTATTGTGAGCCTAGAACAATGGGTCTTATGTGCAGTACCTACCTTCTGGGGGCAAGCTCCGATAATCCCGAAGATTTCCATCTCCGAGTTGTGCCGCTGGATGCATGAAGTTATCGGCTGCGACAAAGTAGCGACTTGGTTGATCAATATCTCGAACAAACTGTGGCATCCCGTTCGCGTGGTTTGTCTCGTGGTACATCCTCATTTGTCGTTTGAAAGCAGTATGAATTGCTCCAAAGCTCCTCTCATGTTGAAAGTCTGCCAGGAACTCAGCTTGGATCTGTTCCTTATTCAAATGTCTTCTTTGCATAAACCAGAATGGTAAGCGCTCCAAGTCCTGGGTTGCCCATCGACGATTGCGGGATCTGGCTTTTTCTCTATCAGCTCTAGCCTTTTGTATGGTATTTATTGCGTCACTTACCTGCTTGAGGCTATTTATAATCTGGACCTCTATATGTGATTCAGGAATTGGTGCGCCTTTTCTCCCGCCATGTGTAGAAGTGCGCGAAGCATTCAATTGACGTGTCGCAGAATATGGGACTCCATCCGGCAGATTGGACCCGCCTGGCGCCTGGCAAACGGCAGCTTCGCTATGTTTCAAAGTCTCTGTGGGGTAAGGGCTCGAAAACGTCTTTGGGAAATCTCGAGATACTGTTTGTGGTTGACAATTTTCGGTCACAGTGTTACCATGAAAGGTGAGACCTGTGTTGTTGACTGGGTCTGTCAGCACTGACACGCGTTCATCATTTCCGTCCCGTAGATCGGTACTTCCTCCTGTACCGTAGCGTCCTATGCCAGTATTGCTCTGGCCTTCCATGGCTTCAGCTTCTGGATCCAGAGGCGTGGGCCTCCTGACCAATAAGTCATGTTCAGCCAGCTTCTCCCTGTCGTTGGATGGGCTCACGATACTTGGCCGTAGTTCTGGGAGGCTATTTTGCCGATCATAACAGGTCTTGCCACATTCATTTCTCGCTTCCTCAAGGGATTCTCTGCGGTTTCCGCTCTCCTCGCTAGGATTTTCATGCAGACAGGTATGGTTGAAATTCTCTGTTTGTGGATAGCAATGCTCCACCAGGGGCCCCGGTTGGCAACTAAGACTCTGTCGTTTTTCAGAATCTTTCGCGGGCATCCACAACGGTGCATCTGGAAGGGTGACTCGCCGACCATTTCGGCTATGTAGCCTTTTCCTCTGGCCCATTCTCATGGGGGCTCGTCCGAGCAGTTTATTCGCCATCATCCTGGAAGCTGGCATTGTTTTCCTACCCTGGAAACTCCGTCTAGTAAGCTTGCCGGGAAGGCTACTTCGGAATTTCCTCCTGCGCCACATGCGATGCGCTCTTTTGAGCTCCTTCAGGGATGACCATGCTTTCTCGACTAGAGTCTCTTTATTGGGAACTGCCGCGTAACCTAAGCCTTGATCATGCTGGGCCTGCTCCAAAACTAGGCTTGATGGATACATATTCGAATGTGTTGATTCTTTCCATTTGTTCAAAATATCTTGAAGCGCTCGAGTTTTCTGGTTAACCTTTCCGATTATCTTATTGTTGACTTCAATCACTGTGGCCCAGGAATTTGCCGGTCAGTGAAGGCACAATCATTTTTATACCGGATCAGGCGTAACATAACTCACCTTTTGATGCAAGTTGGTTCGAAATTGCAACCATCTCGGCAGTGAACGACAGTGTATATAACTCTGTTTGGACATCTCTCTTGTAGTACCAAGGTTGAATCAATTTCTGTGGTAGGCCGGAAATCATCATATTATGCTGGAAGTCTGACAACTCCGCAGTTGCGTTGAAGTCATGCAGATAATAATGATAGACTTCGGCTTCCTTGAATTCGATCTTGGATCTGTCTGCATTCATAACATCCAGCCAAGTGATGGTCCTCTGCATCGTGCCATTTTCGAGCTGGATGATTTTCGGGCTTGGAGAACCAAAGATGGCATCTATCCCTTTCATAAGATTGACACTGATCATCGAGGCATTGTAAACGACCGCGAGGCTCGCATTGTTATTAAATTGATCCAATATGACGTGGGATTCTTCTAGGGCGAGGCAAAGTCTTTCTTGCAGTGGTTGGAACTGCTCCAGGAGACTTTCTCTTAGCTCCAGGAAATTGCCTTCTTGGCGGTGATTTAGACTTTGATTTTTTTTCGGAGAACATAGATTCAGTCTTGCCGCTGGTGGAGTCTTAATCGTGGCGGTTGGCTGTAGGCTCGTGATGACCGTGATATTCTTCTGGAAAGTCATAGAGATCAGCAGGTGCTGGTTCCTTGGTTCCTTACATCGAGATTCGTTGCCTACCTTGTGGGACCAGAGAAGATGTGTTGGGTATGAGGCGGAGAAAAAAAAGTTATTTTCTCAGAAGTCGATGATGAGTAGGAAATTTATAGCCCATGAATCTCTGGTCACGGAAGATAACCGGCTCTGAAAAGCATGAGAAATCACAGGCCAGTCTATTTGACATGGCTATGCCGAAGACAACGTTGGCAGCACGGTTAGATCACTTTACTGATGATGAAGCATCACTGAAATCAACGTTGAAACATCAATGACTCTGCTGAGATTCCCTATGCACATCACGCTCCAGAGTTGTGACTGCCGATATGCTGTTCTGGGAGTATCTGCTGCCTTGGGCTCGTGACATCAATGGGGCCTCATTGTGAAGATAGATCGCACTTCCTCGGGTTTGCTTATAGTATGCAGTCACTCAGCCGCTGCTGGTACCTCCTGCCGCACTTTCAAAGCATTGTCTTTGCATTATTTATAACATCGTCGAGTAATGTGACGAAGATCTGATCTTTTGTCCCAGCGTATGTCCAAATGCGGGAGATAATCCTGAAATGCTGAGTTCAGACGGAGTGACCCACTTTTCGACACACATTTCAGATACTACAGGTAACGAGGTCAATAAAGTAAAATTGAATGGGAAGTTGAATATTCAGAGTACATAGAAGTTTCTTTTGCTTGGGCTGACCATGTTCAGGTGCATGCCGCAATTCACTAAGGTCCCGAACATAAATCGGATCGAGCCATACACCACGCCTCACGGAAACTCAATCTGCAAGAAATGCATCACCTCGGAGATCAAGTCCTGCTCGATACCTCCAACGAGTCGCTTGATCACGTCAGTGGGTATCGATCGTTCTTGTAGTTGTGTGCGAAGAGAGAGCTCGGGTAAACGAGGATGAGAGGGGACAGCCTGCTGTGGCTGCACTTGCACCCTGCTTGACTTCGGCAGGGTTTTCTGTAGGAGTTCAAAGAGACGACAGAGACTCTCTGCGCTATGGTTTTCGTCGATGCGAAGGCAGAATTCAATTGCAGCACAATTCTTCTCAAGCAGACTATCTCTGTCTTGGGCCAAGCGATGAACAGCGGCGTGGCGAATGCCGGCGATCGAATGGCGCAAGTTCTGAACAGTGGTGATATTTTCACCATGTTGCTCAGACGAGATCTTCGATCGGTTTCTAGCTAAGAATTTGAAGAACTTATGCAGCTCCAGTGCCTCGGGCATGTCCATCCAACGGCCAAAGACTGTGGTTGAAGCCATTTTTGAACAAATTGGAAAGCGGAATGCTCGAGGTGGCGTTGCAGCGTTTGGAGGATCAAATGTTGTGCTCGAAAAGGGATAGACGTCACATGAAGTCCTAGGATGGGAAACAAGATCTCTATAAACTCTACCGATCGTAATTAGCGAAGGCACTCTAGTCTCTTGTTTTAGCTTACCCTTAGCTTTCAGTCCCCGGCTCTGTTTCAAAAACGATTTCAAGGACCTTCGACAGTCAATTGTGGAATTTTTCAATTTTGAGAGGATCGCTAGGTCATTTACCGGTAGCTGATTGACTGTGGAGACCAATGATGGACAGCGGTGGAGTCTCTATTGGAGCGCGACGAAATCATTTTCCGACGACGGACTCGGCGTCGACATCTCTTCATCGATGGTACCTCGGCCGGCTTGTGGACGTGGGTACACGAAGTATCCTGGTCATCCTGTGCTGGCAAGTGAAATAAAGATTTGGGCGGCATGACGAGTTGCAGTGACTGCGACTTGCGACGGAAAATAAATCGGCTAGGCTGAGGGAAATCATTTTTCTCTCACGGGGCGAGAGCAAAAGTTTTACAGGCGAAAAGTTCCGCGGGCAGGCAAGCGATCTGCCAAGGCGAGTCTTCCATGGAACGACTCTACATATTAGCTGCGTGAAAACCGTTTCACATCGTTGAGCAATGTTGAGACCAATGATTTGCAAATTGATTGGCTACGGTCCGAGCGAATATTGGCAGACTTCTGCTGCCACGAGAGATTAAGCCGCCACGGCGACTAGCCCATGGCATGCCACTTCGGTCTAAACCTCATACCAAGTGCGTTGCAGGCCGTTTAAGCCAGGTGAATCAATGTTGATGAGGCAAATGATTTGTCACGCATCGCATCATGCCGACCACGGCTCCAGGTGGATCCAGCCACTCCACCCGCTCTCCACTCCAAACTCTTGAAATTTCTTATTTCAACGTTGACAAACCGCCTCAACACCCACGAAATTAGGGTCGCCTGGTGCGAATTTGAAGTCAAAATCTCTGGACTCGGCAAAATGTACGCAAGTGGTCGCTGCCGCAACCCCTACTCCGAATAGCATAAAAGACGCTCTTTTCCCGCCGAAAAGAGAAGCAGGACTTTCCTCCTCACACTCCGGGCCTCGCAGCCTTGGGGTGTCTTTTGCAGGTAAGATCTGCGTTACCAAGTACTCTTCGCAGGACGGGCTCTGCGTGATCAAGTGTGCCTCGCGGGACGGGCTCCGCGTCATCAAGTTTGCCTCGCAGGAGACCGCTGCGATACCAAGTTCTCCGCAGGAGACCGCTGCGTCACCAAGTTCTCCGCAGGAGAGTGCTGCGTCAACAAGTTCTCCCTCGCAGCAATGAGCCCTGCGATTGTAAGAGTGCGCTCCCTCACAGCCAATGAGCCCTGTGTTGTATAAATGTGCTCCCTCACAGCCAATGAGCCCTGTGTTGTACAAATGCGCTCCCTCACAGCCAATGAGCCCTGTGTTGTATAAATGCGCTCCCTCACAGCCAATGAGCCCTGTGTTGTATAAATGCGCTCCCTCACAGCCAATGAGCCCTGTGTTGTATAAATGTGCTCCCTCACAGCCAATGAGCCCTGTGTTGTACAAATGTGCTCCCTCACAGCCAATGAGCCCTGTGTTGTATAAATGCGCTCCCTCACAGCCAATGAGCCCTGTGTTGTACAAATGCGCTCCCTCACAGCCAATGAGCCCTGTGTTGTATAAATGCGCTCCCTCACAGCCAATGAGCCCTGTGTTGTATAAGTGTGCTCCCTCACAGCCAATGAGCCCTGTGTTGTATAAATGCGCTCCCTCACAGCCAATGAGCCCTGTGTTGTATAAGTGTGCTCCCTCACAGCCAATGAGCCCTGTGTTGTATAAATGCGCTCCCTCACAGCCAATGAGCCCTGTGTTGTATAAGTGTGCTCCCTCACAGCCAATGAGCCCTGTGTTGTATAAGTGTGCTCCCTCACAGCCAATGAGCCCTGTGTTGTACAAATGTGCTCCGCGGGGACCTCCGCGACATCAAGAGCCTCCGCAGGGGGACGCTGCGAAACCAAGGGAGACCCGCAGGAGACCGCTGCGTCACCAAGTTCTCCCTCACAGCCCTGAGCCCTGTGATTGTATAATCTTGAGCTTCCATGCAGCCTTGAGCCCTGCGTTATCAAATTTGCGCTCATTAGGCGACCCGTGGCGCCGCGGTCCTCGTCCTGATCCTCTGACGATTGCAGGCACCTCTTCGTGGTGTCAGAGACTAGTATTCGAGGGAGTGACTCGAAGAAGCCAAGACCTGCTCCAAAGAATCCATAGAAATCAATAATCCTCCAAGGGGGCTTTGTGTATGCGCACTTCAAGATTTAATGTAGACTTTATCATGCGTGACCATGATTAGCGCAGTGTGCTTTGTAGCCTTCGATCACGCTCTGATGTTCGAGGATAGGCATTTTCTTCCACGGAGCATGGAGTAGAGCATTTAGTCATGGACCGGTTGGAATCGCGGTGTATGATAGCATGATGGCCAGTCTGAGCATCGATTGAAATCGAAAGTAGTTGCCATTGGTCTGAATGCTTGTCTCTGCTGGCTAGCAGTACAAGCGGGATTGTCCGGATGTAGGGAGGCGCGATACTTGTGGACTTCGAGAATGGTGCGTGTTGAGGATACCAAGGGTGAGGGAGAG